ATAGAAGATGCTACATGAGAAAATTCAGGGTTCAAAAGCTCTATCAGCCTTCACTTTAGATCCTAAGCCCTCAGAAATGCACCTCATGTGTCTAGGTTCCTGAAATGCGGGTCTTGTGGGGATCTTTTTAAGATCACACATTTGCCAGAGCAAATTTTTTACTTTTGCATTTTCCTTTTGATCTTTCCATCCACCTATCTGTACAGGTATAGATTAGAGGTCACCTGAATGACCACCTTACAATCAAGTTATGGCCAATACATATTTCAATACCCGCACTGGTGATCAGATAGCTTAATTTCAAGAGTAGGTGAATGAGAAAATAATGGATGTGAGATTCATGATAAATGACACGTTTACAGAGAAGGCCGAGTGACCAGAGAGTACATGGGGAGGACAAAAGTGTCCTAGTGATTCCAATTGAAAAAAAATTAGATAGTTAGGGAGCTCTGGTGGCCTAGTGGCAAGAAACTACACTGTAATCGCAGAGGTGCACGGTTCAAATACACCAGATGCTTTCCTGGAGAAGGAGGGACAATCTCCTCCTGTACCAGTCAGATCCAATTTGACGGTACACATACAAAACAATAAAATAAAATAAATTTTTAAAAAGTTAGATAGCTATGGAACAGATACTAAAACAGTACCAAAGTCACATTTTGAGATGTAACTAAGTTGGGCAGGACAACATCACTTACCAAGTTAACGCTGTATAGGTGTATAGGTTGTTTGGTATTGAACTACTAAATTGCTTTGCTTATTAATTTGCTTTAAAGAGAATCTATACACAGTTCAAGGTTGACAGGCACTGAATCTACAGAACACTTAAGAACTGTTGTAGAAAGTGTTTTCCCCTTCTCGTTCTTCCTAATTCATCCTGAAGCTAAATTACTGTTCCCTTTTTCTAGCTCCCACACCATGTTACCCTGGGACAGACTTAGCTGTGGGTATGTGGGCGTTTCTCTCACTAAACTATTAGCTCTCCTTAGAGCACATTCTCTGGGTCCTCACAGGGTTTCATGCAGAATTAGTCCTCAATGAAATTGTACCTCACAGGACCAAAGTCCACCTACACAGCATGGTTCACTTGGAACTTGGCACACGTGAGAAAGTGGAGACCAGCAATCAACTTCTGGGACAGTGATCCTCAACGGGTGGTCCCGCAAATGGCACCATCAGCATCACCTGGGACTTTGCTAGGGATGTAAATGACCAGGTCCCACTGCATGATTCAGTAGCCTGTATGACAGTAAGCCCTCTGGCACACTGTAATGCCAGCTCAAGTTCGAGATCATGGTGCTGGAAAAGAAGCGGCTGGGCCAGGCCAGGCTGAGTTTGTCTCTGGGGCTTCTGCGTGCTCTACCTTGTCTGTTATCACTCACAGAGAGGCCAGTGGATATGGACACAGTCTCACAGAGCCTTCAAAAGAGCTACTTTTGGAGCACTGAAGGTCAAGGTTGTTCTTCCCTGGCAGATGAGTACCACTTGCTAGCTTTGGCTTCCCCCACTTTAGGGTCTCCTCTCTCCACCCCCAGGATTCCTTATGTTACTAGGAGTCCCTCTTCCATCTCTTCCCCTCCCCCACCAATAGCTTTTCTTTCTTTTTTTTTTTTTTAAAAAAAAAAACCCCATTTGATGAATAGCTAGTGATGAATCTGCCATTGAAAAGACGTAACTACTACTCTACTGTTACAATGAAAGTTTATAAAACGTGTGTATATGCTTTTGGGACATCACTCCCTGACTCCCTTTCTCTTGCAATCCCTCCATACACAACTTCCTGAACTAATATCTTCAGGAGGGCTACTTGAGGGTCCTGTGGTAAAACATCCATTCTTATGCGAGATACAGGATTTGGCCAGCACCAGAATTTCAGCATTAGTGCAGGAGGCCAAGATACTTGAAAGGCTTGTTGCTCCCCATCCCTTTTAACACACTAAGCATTTGTAAGCTGAGTTTAGAAATGTCAAAAGGAAGGGAACAGATGAAACCCTAATTGGTGTTGTCTTAGCCTCCGAAGGCTTATCCTAAGGGCAAAATTCTTTGGGTTTCAGGACTCCTTAGCTTGGTATCTGAGCTCCTCTAGACACTAGACCATTAATGAATCCACATGTGAGCAGAAGCATTATTCTCTCATAGTTTTAGATTAAAGTTACTCGATTTCCGGGCCTCTGTAAGAGGTGTGAGGGAAGCAATGCTAGTTAACTTTTGGAACGTGTCACTAAACCATCTCTTCAAAGCAAGCTGCTATAATTGTCTCTGTCATAAGCTACTAATACATCTGGACTAAACTACAAAGGTTCTAAGCAGAATGCATAGGTGCAACAGTATGGACGATGGGATGCAGTATGTAGGGGACTGGGCTCATGGATGCAGCTGACACGCTACAGGCATGCACGGGGGATGCACGAGCAATCGCGGGCCCACAGCCAGGCATGCTTGAACACACAGAGCACAGGCCACAGTGGGGGTCGCATCCTTGTACCAGCCACGGGAGAGCCAAAGCAAGCCTAAATGCAGCCAGGGTGACAGATGCCGCTCGGAGAACTATTTGGCCTACAGAGAGGCAATGGCGGGGGAAGCATAGATCGCTTTGGGTCAAGCAGCAGATCGAGGCGACCAAAACAGACCTCTGACCCAGATTTCCTTTTTGCGGTATCGTCTATATTGAGGAGGTCCCCAAAGCGCTCGTTAGTGATAAACTGATGGTGTGTCGGAATGACGCCCGTGTGGCGGCGAGCAGCAATATCGGCCTCTTCTTGCTCGCGCTTAAGTCGTCTCTGGTCCGCTAAAAGTTTCTGCCACGAAATTGCATAAAAGGGGCAGTGAATCATCTGGTCCAGGGGAATGGGAAACGGCCAACAAAAGCAACGGAGGGAAAAGGTGCTGGGTCAACGGGGAGGAAACCTCAAGAATGAGACGTCAGAGGGACTTTACGTGCTACCACGTTCCTGTGTAACTCCCTCCCACACCCGGCACAGGAGAAATCTGGGGGAAGCTGGGATCCAGGGAAGGATGAATTTCACACAATTCTACTGCCTGGCAAATCAGTCCCTGGCTCAGCCAAGAACCCCTCACCTCCTAGGCCATGGTGGCCAAGGCTAGCTGAGCCAGGGGCTAAGTCCAGAGCATTCACAAGCATGCTGGGCTGCAGCTGGCGGCTGGTCGTGCTGGCCTCCCCCTGAGGAGGCTGTGAGGAGTGGCCCCTGCGATTCCCATGCTGAGGCCAGGGAGCAGCCATTTCTCCTGCCCCAACAGGCTGGCTGAACCTACTATTCCTTTATTCAATTACATCATGTTGTGCTTCTCACATCTGCAGTGATAATCTGCTCAAGACAGCGCAAGTACCCATTTCAGGAAATAGAGCACCCATTTCTCCTCTGCCAGCCAGCCTATCCTGCCCTTAGGAGGTCTTAGCACATAACACCACTTTTATATATGTATGAAACCACAAAGCCTGAGAGAGAGTATAAGCTACTTTCTCACTTAACTATTTCTTCATTAGGTGAGCTATAGGCAAGGTTAAGGGGCATGATGGAATACAAATATGTCAAATAAAATTAATGGTACCTGCGGTAAGGAAGAGCTATCATCTCCTATATGATTTTTAAAAGCCTTAAATAAATATTAAATAATGCTGAATTTGCCCAAATGCCCTCTTGGTACCTATGGAAATGATTCTGTGAAATAGAATTTGAATATGAACATTCTGGGGATCCACTTTCCTTGTAGAAAGCATTAACTAGAACTGAGAAGATGATTGCTAGCATGCTCGGTAAAACATCATCAGCACTCCTTCTGCTGGCATTATAGGCTCTGGAGACATCTAGTCCTAAAGGGTGGTGGGCTGCAGGCTCCTCAGTCTACAAACAAAGCGGTAACTCGCCAAATGTCTGAGGGCTGCCCTGTACTCAGGTAGGTGGATGTAAAAGTCAAAAGAGAAAAGACGGCACTTTGCAAAGCACAAGGACATGGAAAGAGGACTGGCCCAGGGATATAGCCCTGGTCTCCAACTCTGCCTCTGCCCTCAGGTAACTTGTGATGTGATTGTGGGAAAGTCACTCCCTTGCCATGGTCTTTTCCTGTACAAAGGCAAAGGAGAGAGGATTATTCATATTAACAAGGCTGAGGTAGTCTTATCTTCTAGAAGGTTATTACATCAATGTTAAGAATAAAGTATTTACATACAAAAGTGCCAGAATTAATACTCTCAGCCGGGCACTGAGTTGTTTCAACTGATACTTGAAGTTGCCAAATGCCCTTGTTCAATAGCCCTGGTACTCTAACCTGGGTTATAATATCATCAGTGGTCATCAAATGGAGCAAAGCTCCCAACCTAGTGCTTGAATGTGACCTCAGTAAATCCCTCAGCCAGTTTAACGACATAACCTAAAAACTCTAAGACAAGAAAAAGAGAACCTTTAAGGATCTGTGAGTCCATGTTGTTCAGGGGACATGCAGCTTATCTTTTATATGCAATACTTATTACATTGATTGCTAAGTCAAGAAAACAAAAAAAAAAAAAAAAAGAAAGTAAAACAAGCAAGAATTCTACCACAAAACCTTCCACAGTGGATACCTGAGTTTATTCTGCCAAAGTGGAGTTTCCTCTTTCTTTATTCATGTAGAAGGCCAACCTGGTGTAGGTGGCATTCTTACATCTTGATGATAGTGAATACTTGACAAAGAGTAAAAAATGAATTGATTCTGTGGCCCAACGGACACTCACTGTGAGTTTCTAGTCTTAGGACTTCAAGTACTCTTACACATTAAATGCTTCCTCTGGTTTCTTCCATAGGCAGGTACAAATCTCTTAGTGGATATTGCTTGGATTATGCCTGAGGAGGGGAAAGGTGGGGATGCCCATGCCTTCTCTGATTTTGATCTCATCATCTGGCTACAGGGATTACCATCCAGCTCTTCTCAAAGTCAGCATCACCCTTAATGTCTCAATGAAAGTCCTCTCAGAAAAATAGGGAGGTGAGCACACTTCAGCCTGCCTGCTATCTGGCTCAAAGCTCTTCCATTCTTACTTGGCTACAGGAAAATGGACCTTGGAGAGTGGTTTATTCTATAGGATGTGTTCTCCTGAAAATGCAAAGTCCAGCCAGCATTTATCACATTAATATTTGAGGACAAAAGAATTTATGCTTATGTCTTCCTAAATTCCCTGCCCTGTGAGTCAAACACTACTGTACAGATCATTCAGAAGCTTTGAGAAAGATCTTCATTTTGAAGATCATTTTGGTTGGGGTTTATCAACATTGATTGAGGTATCTTTCATCTTCCAAGTTAAAAGCAAGAGCGTTACAAGTGACCTCTTTAAACTTTTGTAAAATGCATTGAGGTAATAATTCTTGTTCCTTTTTCTTTGTTCCCTGTCTGCATCCTTTCACATCTGAACTATACTTTGTCCCAACAGAGGGGTCAGAAGGATTGGAGAAGTATGTGGGTGGACTTCCTCAGAGAACATCAAGGCTAGGGAGGGAAGGAATAAAGGAGGGAAGAAAATTCCAGTGTCTCCTCTACAAAGCACGGAATGCAGTATGTGTGTCTGGAGGTGGGGCTGACCCCTTCCTGGACCCATGCTGCCCCCCACTCCAGCCCCCTGCCAGCAGTGCTGGCTGGACTCTACATTCAAATCCCAGTCTCCATGTGGAACTCAGCCTGACTTTTCTGAGTAACTGAGCTTGTGTCAAATAATATGTCACACTGTAGATTCCATCCCTGTTTTGTTCCCTCTTACAGAAGCCTAGAATGTTTACTTCCTCCATATGAGGGCCAAGGAAGAGCTAAGAGATTTTAAAAATGGACTTTACCTCTTTATCATCATGACGTCTCCGAATAAATTCTTCTGTGGATTCCAAGTAGTCAGCTGGTATGAAATGTCTTGGTGATTCTGAATCTTCAAAAACAACAAAGTAGTGTTAAAACAGGCTGGAGTTTAAAGAAATTAGGCCAGGAAACAAATTCTAGCTATTGAACGTTCATCAGTTAAAAAGAACAAGTTTTTATCATCATTACTGATCAATAATCAAAATCTGCAGACACACCACCCTCCTTTTAGATCTACCTGTGAACTCTGAGTACAAAGAAAACCAACCAGAAGGCAAAAGATGAGGAAAAGAGAGGGCCTTCGTTGAAAGTGTCCCTACAAAGAGGGCGTGCAGTATCTTACAGGGACAAACCATGCACTCACACACATACACACACGCACATAACACACACACACACAGGGCCACTGAGAGAGGCTGCCTCTCAAAAAACCACGGGGTTAAGTCAGGGTTTGGTGCAAACAGCAAGTGGTTCAGGAGTTCCCATGACGGAATTTCTCAGGTGAGCTAAACGGCCAATTTTTCTTTCCAAACAGAGTTTGGTGGTTAGTGTAAACGACACAGACTTTGTTTTTAAAGAAGTGCAGCCACTACGAGCCATGATTAATTGCCAAGCAAAACAAACAGAAAACAAAGGACGGACCAGAAAATGAGCACCAAAGGGCACAAGGTGGGGTGGGGGGAGAGGAAGCAAGCAAAGGAGGGAGACGGATGAAGCAGGACTGGTCAAAGACACAAAATGCCACCTCCGAGGGACGTTCCCAGTTCACTGTGTGGGTTGTTGTTCCTGTCCAGGCCGTGGTCTGGGAAGGGCCCGGCATTCCCGTTACTAAAGGCCCTCGGCCCGTCCTCAGGCACTGCTGGTCCCTCCCGTGGGGGCTCTGGGATGCGGCTAAGTCGCTCCATGGTGTGGCGGGAGGACAGGCGTTTGGGGACAGAGGGCTTCCCCCCGGAGGAGGGCTCGTGCTGAAGGGCCTGACTCAGGTGGTCTGGCTTCTGGCATGCCAGCAGGCCCGTGGGGTCACCAGGTGAAGTCTGCCTGGGGGGCTGCTGAAGGGGCTTTTTCAAGCGAAAAGGGAGGGGGCTCATTAGGTAGATGTTCCTGAGAAGCACGCTCTTGTCCCCTCGGGGGTCCGGCCGCCAGTCGGGCTGTCTGGAGGTCTGCTGCTCGTGCTTGCGGATGGTGGTGAAGCGGGTGTAGGAGGCTGGACAGGTCCCCTTGCACTTGTTGAGGCGATGCCTGGGGAAGTCTCCGTGGACGCTGCCACTGCTGCCCTCCCTGCTGTCGCTGGAGACGTTGGAACAGTGGTCGAGGTCGTCGGAACAGGCCGAGAGGGGGTCATTGGGCACCAGGCCCCTGAAGCCCAGGGCTGCGTCTGCCATGTTGCTGCAGGTCGGGGAGGCGTAGACCCGCCCGGGGTTCATCACGTCCACCTCGCGGGGCCGCAGCTTGGTGGACTCGAGCAGGGACTCGGCCGAGCGGGCGGCGGTCAGGCCGCTGCGGGACAGCACGGGCGTGGGGGACTTGCTCAGCCGGCCCGACAGGTCGAGGGAGGGCATGGACCGGGACCGCTGAATGAGCTGCTCGAAAGCGGTGATGCGGGAGGAGACCGTGTGCTTGGGGATGTGCTCGGGGCCCTCCTGGCTGGAGCCCAGCTCGGCCCTGGCCAGGCCCAGGCTGCTCCTCTCGAAGTGGGAGGCCAGGTCCCGCACGCTGTTGGAGGAGCCGGGGCCCAGCAGGAGGCTGGCGCGGTTGATCTGGTGCATGTCCCGGTAGAACATGGAGAACTGCAGGCCGGCCTTTCGGGACAGTGGGCAGGGCCTCCTGGTGCTGGAGCCGTACTCTTGCAGGCTCATGGTGCTGCTCGACCTGCTGTCATACTCCCTCCGAGAGCGTGAGAGCAGGTTCTCGATGCTTCCTCCCGCGTGCAGGGGAAGACCTCTTCTGGAATCGTGCAAAGATGCAGACACGCAGAGGTTCTCACAGCTCTGGGCCTTTTCGGGGGGCAGCAGGCCGCTCTTCTGTTCCCGCAGAAGGGTGCTGGGGGCCGAGAGCCGGGGTTTGAACTTGGAAGGGAGGATTTCGGAAATGCAGGCTTTGGCAGCTGAGAGGGGCTTCTTGTGCTTACACCCAGGGCCTAACACATTGCTAGTGTGAAACGTTCGGCTAGGAACTGAAGATGAAGAAATCATGTGAGCATTCCCACCTTTACGGTCCACTGGTAAGCATGCAGAATAAAATAAACAGACCCATTAGGTTAAAGCTGAAAGCTGCTTTAAAAACAAAACAAAATAACAACAACAAAAAAAGGTGAGAGAACATGCTCATTTTTCATAAGGGCAGTTTTGGTTTTGGTTTTGGTTTATTTCCAGCCCAAGTCTGGAAGCAAATGAACTAGTGTTGCAAAGCAGGTGCAGAAATGCAATGGAAAAAAAAGGTCACCCTGCTAGAACCAGGAGAGGCTGAAGCTCAGCTAATAACTAAAAGGGAATTAGAACAAAAAAGAGAGAGAGAGAGAGATGCTTTGGGGAGAGCAAGGTGAGGGGCTCAAAGGGAGGGAAACTATTAATACCAGAAAGAAAAATGGCCAGTGAGGAAATAGGAGGGGGGAGGGCACAAAGGCCCAGAGGCTGGGAAATGGATCCGACTGAGTCAGAACCTGTCCCAGTTGCTGGTGGCGGCCCCGCCACAGCCACCACCAAGGTGACCTGTGCGTTCAGGAGAGAGGACGGCAGCTGTCACTCAATTACCTTTAGTGGACGCTGAACTGGATGGCCGCTTGAGCCCACTCAGGCCCTGCAGGGGGATGTCGCCACCTTCCAGGACACTTTTGTAAATCTGTCTCTCGTTCTCCAAGCTAGCAGGGTCCCCGGGGCCCCCATCGGATTCCCTCTTGACTGCATGGAAGTTGGAAGAGTATATACTAAGAACAACATTTCAAAAAAAGGAAAGAGAGAAAAGAAGGGAGAGAGATAAGGATAAGGATTAGTAATTTAAACTTTTTTTCCCTCCCTCCTCCAATACATTCCTCTCCCTCAATACATTATCAACTGAATGTTGGAAACACACTTGCTAGTCGCAGGGAAGCATAGTCATTCTAAAGGGCAATTCTTGTGTAGACAGAGATTTTTTTTTTTCTCCAGGCAAGTTAGGCCTACTGGTTTCCTGAGCACTCAATGATCTTGTCCAAACAGGACAGTGCTCTGAGATGACTGTATTTGTGCTTGCAGAAGGGCAATTCTGCAAAACAATGGCAGTGGGAGGGTGAGCAGGGGGCAGGACAGGTGGCAGCCCAGGACACGAGTGGAGCCTGTGACGTGGTGACGTGGTGCCTTCGCAGCACTGGCTGCAAGTCCACAACCTGGACTCTTTCCCCAAGTTACTCTTCACAAGCGAATTGTCCAACAGACATGAACTTCATCTGCCAGCCAGCTGCCCCAAGTCTCCAGGAATATCAGTGATAAGAGGAACGAGAACCTTCCATTCTGTGTGTGACCTCTAACTCAGCCAAATTTTGCACCCATTTCTTTCAAAATGTGTGTTAAGGACCATATGACATGCATTACCAGTATACACTACAGCTCACTTCTAGTCTTCATTTATTTGCATCTTGCTGTAATCTATTTTGTGCAAGCTACCACAAATCCTTTTTGGAATGAGGTGGGGTTTGGAAAACAATGAAGAGCACTTACCTAACTCCTCCCTCCCTTCCTACTCTTAATTCTGATTTTCCATGCCCCCAACTTGGGTCTGTCTGCCTGTCTTTTTTTTTTTATTATTTAAAAATTTTTATTTATTTATTTATTTTATGTGTGTACCATCAAATTGGATCTGACTGATACAGGAGGCGATTGTTCCTCCCTCTTCAGCAGAGCATCTGGTGGATTTGAACCGCGCACCTCTGGGAATGCAGTACAGTTTCCTGCCACTATGCCTGTCTGTCTCTCTCTCTCATACATACACACACGAGTGTGCACACATGCATACATGTGTTGTTGTCATTGTGTACCACCGAGTCAGAACAAACCCATAGCTGACCTTCCAGCTGGTTTTCAGAGGTAGTAAATTGCACAGGAGATTGTCTCTCTCCCATGGAGCAGCTGGTAGATTCGAACTGCATATTTTTACCTTAGCAGTGCAGCTTCTTACCCGTAAGCCACAAGAGTTCCCTTAGCATGTGTACACAAAGTTCTCAGCTCAGTCAATGGCTCCTTTTCTACCATATTACTTGGGCTTTTGTTCGATGGCACTTCAAGCCTAGTGAATTCAACTTCAAATCCTATAACTCCCCCACCCCCCCATTCTGAGATGAAGAAACTGAGGCACTGAAAGCTCAACCATTTGTGCCACGAGGTCCTGTCCAACTTCCCAAGCTCCTCTTCACTTCCTTCTGCCAAGACTCTTGGCCGTAACTGGCTGCCTGACCTCACACTTTCTCTACTTCACCAGCTGCCAGAACTCATCCCCTCTCCCTGACCCTGTTCTTGGATTTTATCTGACCCACTATCACCATTTCCCCCTCTGTGTTTTCAGGAGAACCACAAAGCAGCACGTAGACCTCTCCGCAGAGATTTGCAGCAGTCAGCGGTTTTCCTTCTGAAATAAACGCCAACACGCCTTCTCCAGACGTGAACACTTTGCAAATGAGTTTTGCCTCTTGTTTTGAAGATCTCCAAATACTGAAGAGATGAACATATTTCCATCATTGTGCAAAAGCTGAGGACAAGACTAAGGGAGACCTTTGTCCAAGGTCACAAGAGTTATTAGATTCTTGCTGTTTCCCAGTGGGTCAGAAAAAAAGCAAACAGATAGCCTAGGCTGGAAGAGGAAAGCACAGCGGTCAGGATTAGCACCTACCAATTTCTTAACAAAACAAATTACATTCAGAAGCTCAGCTCTGAGCAGCTTCAGTGGAACCAGCTTAATTCTGGAAGAACAAACCAGAAGGAGCTAGGACCGAGAATTCACCTCTGGATAATATGCAGAACTGGCTGCTGCGTTTCAAGGAGATTCCGTGAACACACCTACACTGGGAGAAGAGACTGAAAACCGAGTGATCATCTGAGGGCCCTTTGTTTCCCATCAGGCTCACAGGTTGGCTTGGAGGTATGATCTAAGAAACTGGGGGTTCTGGTTTGACATCAGCAAGGAATGTGGCTCAGCTGAGGCAAATGTGCTGTTTACAAGCTTGGAAACAATCTTTTCTCCTCACTGAATTGCCTTCATCTGCAGAAATAACAGGTGCCATTGAGACTGTCCAAGAAGCCCACTTTCCAGTGTATTTTCTTTTGCACATCAGCTATATATCTTCAACCACTTTCTAGATTTCTCCACTTAGATTTTCCTCAGGCATTTTAAACTCAAGTGTTCTAAACAGAATCCCACTTTGCTCATTCTCCGTGTTGACAATCCACCTCTCACCTCCCGTGCCAAAGGTCTAGGGAGTTATCCCTTCTTCCTCTCCTTGGTCTCCAGATGTAATCAGCTACCATGTCTGGCTCACGCTTCTCTTCAACAGTGTTCACATCAATCAGTCCTTCCCCTCTCCATCTCCGTGGTATCTCCACACCTCAGTGTCTCTCCCTTAATTTCTTCAGTCAGAACATTAGTACTCCCCCTGCCTCAAATCATCTCTGCAAAGCACTGCCAGCAGTATTTTTAGAAAGCATCTCTTCAAGTCATTCCACTGCTCATTTATTCACTCAACAATTACTTGCTGAGCACCTAGTGGGTGTCAAGCACTCCTCCTAAGTAGAGACTCAGCAACAAACAGAACAGACACAAAGGCTCACCCTCTGAACGGAACTGCATTCACTGCTCAAAATCATTGCAGAAGCTCAAGAAGGAGAAGTAGGTAACCTGTTCTCTGTGGCTTTGGAGGAAAGAGTCTAGACAATCTGAAGACAGAGGTTTCATCATGAGCCTTTTGTGCTACATGAAAATTTTAAATTACACTCATGTTTTATTTGTATCTTCCTCTATAAAGTCTTTTTTGACTTCTCCTTCCCACAGCACTGAGATGTTCACGCTCTCCTGGGTTCCACCTATACACTTACTCTTGATTTTTGGTGTATATTTGCAAGGCTGTCTCTTCTAGACCATTGAATGGGGTATTTATCTCATTAATATTTGTAGGTGCTTAGCACTGTGGCTCAGTGACCATTAACTAAGTGACTTCTATATATTAAAGACTGTTGATCCAAGTAAGATGAAATCATGGGCAATCTAAATCTTTCTTCCATCTAGTATGACATTCAGTGGTACAAAAGATTTTTAAATTTCTTACGTTGAGATGTAATCTATATTGAAATTTTTGATCCTCTGCAGTGTTTCAAGTCCTCCCTACTTTCAGCAAGCAAGTTTGTGTCATCTGCAAAATGCAGGCTGTTGATGAGTTCTCCTCTGATCCTGATGCCACATTCTTCTTCAGCGTCCAGCTTCTTGAATGATTTCCTTAGTGTATAGGTTGAATAGATATGCAGAAAGGATACAACTCTCACACACAACTTTTCTCATTTAAAACCATGTAGTGTTACCTTGCTCTGTTCATACAACAGCTTCTTGGTCTGGGCCTAGGTTTCTTATGAACATAGGTAAATGTTCTGGGATTCCCATTCTTCTCCATGTTAGCCATAGTTTGTTAGGATACACAAAGTCAAATGTATTTGCATAGTCAATAAAACAAATAGACATCCTTCTGGTCAGACATTCTCTGATTTCAGCCAGGATCCATCTGACATCAGCAATGATATTGCTGGTGCCACAGCCTCTTCTAAACCTGGCTTGAACATCTAGTAGTTTTCTGTTAATGTACTATTCTAGCTGTTTGTGATAATTTTCAGCAATATTTGGCTTGCCTGTGATATTAATGATATTGTTTGATAATTTCTATATCCTGTTGGATAACCTTTCTTGGAAGTGGAAACAAATATGGATTCTTTCCAATCAATTGAGCAAGCCGCTATCTTCCAAATTTCCTAGCCTAGTCTAGTGAGCATGTCCATGGTTGCATCTGTTACTCTGAAACATAGTCATCAGTATTCCATTGATTCCCGGGTCCTTATTGATTCCTGGTTTCTTATTTTTGCCAATGCCTTCAGTGTAGCTTGCAATTCTTTCTCCATTATCACTAGCTCTTGTTCATATAGTACTTCCTGAAATTCTTCCTTGTCAATCCTTGCTACCAGAAGTCAGGAGATCAGGAGATGTATTGCATTGGCCAAGTTCACTGTCAGGGACTTTGTCAAATTATTGAGGAGCAATGATATCAGTTTGAAGACTAAGGTGCACCTGATTTCAGGCCATAGTCTTTTCAATCACTTACTATGTGTCTGACAGCTAAACAATGAATAAGTATTGCAGAAGAAGAATTGATGGCTTTGAGATGTGGTGTTAGAGAAGATCACTGAATATTCCATGGACTGTCAAGAATACAAACAAAGAAGTCTTGGGAAAAAGTGCAACCAGAGTGCTCCTTAGAGGCAAGGATGGTCACGTTTCATTTCACATATCCTGGGCATGTTGCTAGGAGAGGCTGTTCCTTGGAACGGGACATTATGCCTGAAAATGTGGAGGGTCAGGAAAAAAGAGGAAGACCTCTAACAAGACAGACTGACATGGTGACTGCAGCAATGGGCTCAAGTGTACCAGAGATGATGGAGGTAGAACAGGGTTCGGGTCTGTCGTTCACAGGGTCACTATGAGTCATATTCAACTCAACAGCACCTAACAACAACATACATTAAAGAAGGCCTTGGTTTTCTCTTGTGGAGCATATAGTTGACTTGAACCACTGACCTTTTTGGTTAAAAACCAAATCCTTCAACCACTATACCACCAGAATCCCAATAAGGAGAATTGGTGGAAGAGTTCGTAGGGAGTTGTGCTGTTACTTAAGGGCTAAGGTTCTCTGCTGTTCTGAAT